GTAGGAAAAGAAGAATTATCCTGCCTAGATGCCAACAGCATTCCAGCCTCACTGAAAAATATTGATTTAAAGTATTCTCCTTATTGTGCATAGCTCCAGATATAAATATTAAAAAGACTTTGCCTACTTTAAGTAAAACTTTTTATTAATTTATGTTTCATTAATTCACACTGCTTTTCTCATCAACTTTGCCTAATAAATAATGTTTTACATCTTTCTGTAAAGTTGAATTATACCAATTCTCTAAATATTGTCAGAATTCTGTTTAAATTCAAAAATTAAAATGGACCGACCTCGGTGGCTCACACCTGTAATCCTGGCACCGTGGGATGTTGAGGCAGTCAGATCACCTAAGGTCAGGTGTTCGAGACCAGCCTGGCCAACATAGTGAAACTCTGTCTCTACTAAAAATACAATAGAATTATCTGGGCATGGTGGCACATGCCTGTAATCCCAGCTACTTGGGAAGCTGAGGCAGAAGAATTGTTTGAACCTGGGAGGCAGAGGTTGCAGTGAACTGGGAACACACCACTGCACTCCAGCCTGGGTAACAGAGTGAGACTTCATCTCAAAAAAAAAAAAAAAATTAATTTTTAAAATAAATAAATAAAATGGATGGTGCCAAAGTGATTATATGAGTGACCATAAAACCTGAAGGTATGAAGGACAATGTATGCTCTTTAAAGGAGACTTGGCCAGGCATGGTGGCTCACACCTGTAATCCCAACACTTTCAGAGGCCAAGGTGGGAGGATTGTTTGAACCCAGGAATTAAAGACCAACCTGGGCAACATAGTGAGACCCACATCTCTACAAAAATAAAAAAATTAGCTGGGTGTGGCAGCATGTGCCTGTAGTGCAGCTACTTAGGGGGTTGAGGTGGCAGGATCACTTAAGACCAGAAGGTCAAAGCTTCAGTGAGCCATGATCATGCCATTGCACTCCAGTCTGGACAACAGAGCTAGACCCTGTCTCAACTGAAAAAAAAATCAGCCAGGTATGGTGGTCCACACTTGTGGTCCCAGCTACTCTGGAGGCTGAGGTGAGAGGATTACCTGAGCTGAGGAAATTGAGGCTGCAGTGATCACACCAACCTGAGTGACAGAGACCCTGTCTCCGAAAATTTAAATAAAATAAAGAAGCCTCTCTACATAGGTATAGACAAGACTCTTTTTTTTTTTGAGATGGAGTCTCGCTCTTGTTGACCATGCTGGAGTGCAATGGTGCAATCTTGGCTCACTGCAAGCTCCACCTCCTGGGTTCAAGTGATTATCCTGTACCAACCCCCCAAGTAGCTGGGATTACAGGTGTGCACTACCACACCCAACTAATTTTTTGTATTTTTAGTAGAGACAGGGTTTCACCATGTTGGCCAGGCTGGTCTCCAACTCCTGACCTCAGGTGATCCACCTGCCTCGGCCTCTCAAAGTAAAAAAGGCTCTTTTTAAGAATAAGTTTCGGAATTCAGAAGGGACAAGGGGAGGCATTGGAAAGCAGGAGTATGAGGAAACTTTATTGGGTGACAAATATGTTCATTCTTGATTGCAGTAAAGGTTAACAGGTCTATAGACATGTCAAAACTTAACAAATTATACACCTTAAATATATGCAGGTTATTGTATGCCACTTATACCTCAATACTACTATTCAAAAATAAATAAATTTCTGAGGCCTGAAAACCAAAATAATAGTATAACAATACTGTCTCCAAACAGTCCCAGAAAAAGACTGAGATACTACATAACACAATGAAAGGTTTGAGGATATAAGCAAGTGACTGATTCACGATTCCCTTCAGAAAAATGGCACAGGGTTGCAGAAATTAGGTGGCAAAAATGCCAAATTGAGAACACAGGAGTCTGCTTTGCCTAGAGCCCCTTTCACTAATTCAGTTCATGTGCTCAGCATGTGCCCAGGCAGGGCTGGAAGAGAAACCACAATCATACCAGGCAGACACCCAATCTCAGAAGTCATAAACTGACCACCCCATCAGGCATCGCTGACATGTTTGGTTTGGTCCTCACTGTTGGAAAAATAATCTTTTTTAATTAGTTGCCAGCATCTAAAAATTCAGAGATCTCCACACAAATTCTGAATGTTTTACTTTTCTCAAAATATCAAAAGATCTGGTAACACCTGGGCTCATGTTTCCAACCTAGCAATAGGCCAGGCACTCTGTTCAGTCACAGACCGCTAGACTCAGTCTTCCTATCATTCTGTCTCTGGCAGCTTCACCCATTTATTGCAATGTTTTGATACTATCTCAGGCCTCATCCCCCACATGAAAGTGAACTGCCCTTAATTAGAGATGTAACTCTCACTACAAAGGGTAAGGAACTATCCTACCTAAGCAACCAGTGGCAGCCAACAGAGGCTAGACTCAAGCATACCTTTTTAGAGAAAGATCAATAATAAAAACAAATCCTGAAAACTGGGTCTTGGGGCATTAGTTTACAACGTCAATGGAGAAGCTTCTGACAGAGAGAATTTCCCTACTGAAGATCCTTCTCAAATCCAGCCCCCTCACCCTTCAAACACAAATACATACACAGTCCCAGCTCCCTCCCTAGCCTTCCCCTCCCTCATTCTGCCAGGTAATGGAATGGTAACAGGAATTTTTGTCATCCTGCCTCCAGCTTAAGATAAAGAAAACTTGTTTAAAGGCAAAGTCTCCAAGGAATAATCACACAAATTATTACAGGTCGAAAGGCGTCAGAAACCTACACTCATTCAATGAATAAACAACCAATATTTTATTTAATCATTATATAACAAAAGCATTAATATTAATTTAGGTTCAAGGTAAGATTTGTTACCACTATTACTTAACATTTTTCTGGTCCATGCATAAAATAATAGAGAGAACTATCACAAAGAAGTCAATTTAAAAAACAATAAAAAATAAACTTCTTAGTATGCATGCAGATGACCTCATTCCTACAAGACCCAAGGGAAACTACTGAAAAGCCATGAAAACCAATAGTGAATTCAACAAGGTGACTGAATGGTTACAAAATTAATATACAAAATTACAGGTGTTCATGTCAGCAATAATCATAGAAGAAATACGATGAATAAAAATTGAAACATAATAGCTAACAAAAAAATAAAACATACTCAGGAACAAAACCAATGAAAGGTGTTAGCACAGTCATATTATCCTGGAGAGGGAGACTTCCTGAGGGCTGATCAACTGTATAATCACTACCTAGAGAGTGGGGCTGGACTCTAGCACAGAAGATTGATCCTCTCCTCTGAACTATCCATAAGCCACACTGTCAAAGTTCAGCTTGCACATGGCCCAAGAGGAAATCATGGCTTGTTTCCCCGTTGACACTCTGGACCTGATCAACACCTACGCCTTCCGGGCCCAGTTCTGAATTATAGGACTTGACTCCAAACTGTTAATTCCTCAGACTGCATACAGGAAACAGAACCAGCCAGCAAAGAATCAGTATTTATTGCTTTTTGGGAATCAAGTAAAATGTTAAGTAGAGAAACTTACCTATTCCCTAAAAAAGGGATTTCAAGGAACTCTTTAAAAAGCTTTTGACAGAGCCCAGACATGATGGCTCATGCCCATAATCACAGCTCTTTGGGAGGCTAAGACAGGCATATCACTTGAGGTCAAGAGTTTGAGACCAGCCTGGCCAACATGCCAAACCTTGTCTCTACTAAAAACACAAAAATTAGGCAGGCGTGGTGGTGGACATCTAAAATCCTGGCTATTACTTGGGAGGCTGAGGCATGAGAATTGCTCCAACCAGGAGGCAGAGACTGCAGTGAGCCAAGATCATGCCACTGCACTCCAGTCTGGGTGACACAGAGAGACTCTGTCTCAAAAAAAAAAAACAGTTTTTGACAGAGAACTTTATTAATTGTAAGTATGGAAATAAATAAGTACACAGGTCTTTTATATTATTATTGCTGAACAGAACCAAAATATATATAAATATATATATTTTTTAAGTCAGGCATGGTGGTTCACACCTGTAATCCTAGCACTTAGGAAGGCCGAGACAGGCAGATCACTTGAGGTCAGGAGTTTGAGACCAGCCAGGCCAACATGGTGAAACCCCATCTCTACTCAAAATACAAAAATGGGCTGGTACGATGGCCTGCGCCTATAGTCCCAGCTATTCAGGAGGCTGAGGCGCAAGAATCACTTGAACCCAGGAGGTGGCAGTTGCAATGAGCCGAGATCGCACTACTGCACTCTAGAAGACAGCAAGACTTCATCTCAAAAAAAAACAAAAAAAATTTTTGGGACCAGGCACAGAGGCTCACATCTGTAATTCCAGGACTAGGAGGCTGAGGCGGGCAGCTTACTTGAGGCCAGGAGCTTGAGACCAGCATGGCCAACATGGCGAAACCCCATCTCTACTAAAAATACAAAAAATTTAGCTGGGTGTGGTGGTACACACCTGCAGTCCCAGCTACTAGGGAGGCTGAGGCACAAGAATCGCTTGAACCTGGGAGGCAGAGGTTGCAGTGAGTCAAGATCACACCACTGCACTCCAGCCTGGGGAACAGAGTGAGACTCTGTCTCAAAAAAAAAAAAAATTTGAAATATATAGAAAATTCCCAATTAATACGGTCCTCAATATTTCAGAATTTGTGATTGTTTATGGTTTGGTTTCAAGACTATCTTTTTACTCTAGACAAAAGTGGTTTCCTAAGAAAATTAACAGTGTAAACAAATGATTTGAAGCACCACAGAAACATCTGTTTACATTCAGATAATTAATATGCTAATTTTTATCTGTTAAATTAAAGCAGATTACCTAAGAACTTTTCAAAATAATATTTAATTAGCCCAACAATAATAAGTATATATAGCTGAAGTAATAAATTGGACATCTGTTTTAAGACATCCTTTAATTTCTGCCTTTTACTAAATCAAACCAGTTTTCACACCTTACTTTCAATTACGGAGGTTTTACATATCAACAAAACAAAACTCTATTGAGATAGAAAACAAACAAACATATCCAGTCTTACCTTTGATGGTCTCCATTCCCAACTATCACCTATCTGTTGTGAATGTTTAATGAATTCTGCACAACAACGCTGAAACGTTTTTTCTCCAATGAACTCATCTTCTTCCATGTTAAATAACTGCAATATAAAAACTAAATATTAGCATCAACTTTAGAATGATATCAAAAGGAATTCTGCTAATTGAGTTATTTCTGTCAATAAACCAAAATTTGGGATGTAGAATGGAAAATAACCTCAAGGCCACTAAAAAAACGGTTTTGGCCAGGCGTGGTGGCTCACACCTGTAATCCCAGCAATTTGGGAAGCCAAAGCAGGAGGACAGCTTGAAATCAGAAGTTCAAGAGCAGCCTGGTAAACATAGCAAGACTCCATCTATATAAAAACTCAAAAAATAAGTTAGTCAGGCATATGGTGCACACCTGCAGTCTCATCTACTCAGACGGCTGACGCAGGAGGACAGCTTGAGACCAGGAATTCAAGATGCAGTTACCTACGATCATGCCACTCTACTCCAGCTTGGGTGATATAGTGGGATCCCATCTCAAAAAAAAAAAAGCATTTTTGTTTTTCTATCTTTCTCACCTTATCTCCATTTTTGCTGTTGTTGTTTTTATTATTTTTATTGTTGTTTTTGAGACAAAATTTCATTCTGTCACCCAGGCTGGAATGCAGTGGCACGATCCCAACTCACTGCAACCTCCATCTCCCAGGTTCAAGTAATTCTCCCACCTCAGCCTCTCAAGTAGTTGGGATTACATTTGCGTACCACCACATCTGGCTAATTTTTGTATTCTTATTAGAGACAGGGTTTCACCATGTTGGCCAGGGTGGTCTTAAAACTCCTGACCTCAAGCAATCCGCCTGTCTTGGCTTCCCAGAGTACTGGGATTACAGGTGTAAGCCACCACACCCAGCTTGTTTTTTTTTTTTTTTTTGAGACGGGGTTTCGCTGTTGTTACCCAGACTGGAGTGCAATGCCACGATCTCGGCTCACCGCAACCTCCGCCTCCTGGGTTCAAGCAATTCTCCTGTCTCAGCCTCCCCAGTAGCTGGGACTACAGGTGTGCACCACCATGCCCAGCTAATTTTTGTATTTTTAGTAGAGACGGGGTTGTTTTTGTTTTTATATTCCTGTTTCTATATCTTTGGTGCTTAGCATAGTAAACATTCCAGATGCCTTTTTTCAACTGAATTAAAATCATATAAACTGCAAGGATTTTAAAACCATCTGGCTTCAAAGCCAATGACCTGTCTATACTAGTTAATTCTGATTATTCAAATTTAGTATAATCTATGCAAGAATTTGCTCATTCATCCAACAAATACATACTGAATATCTACTAAGCAGTCAGCACTGTGAATAAGTAAAGGTTAGGTATACAACAATGAAAAAATTAATAGTCCTTGCCTTGTAAGAGCTCATATTCTAAAAAAGGGAGATAAAAAAATGCAAATTTTATAGTAGAAACTCTCTTATCTAACCTCCATTTAACCAACTTGCCAGATTAATCAACACTGACTCAGGTCTACAGCATGCTGATCCTGAAGCACCTCTGCTCCCACCAGTTAATTGTGTGTTCACAAACCATATTCTCCTATCATAAATATATACTATAATTAAATGTTAAACAAACCAAAAACATAAAAGTAAAAAAGGACAACTGTTATTTTGACAACCAAATACCTTGAAAAGACTCAATAAAAGTGAGTCTAAGAAAAATAAACTGCTATTGAACTAGATATGGACAATACAACTGAAAAGACTGGTGGGAGATAGGGAAGAGAAAAGATTCCAAGCTTCCTGCCTTTAGGTGGTGGTGAATTGAGTTAAGACAGAGGTTTCTGGAGGAATAGCAGTTTTGGGAAGAGAGATGGGTTTAATTTGGCCATACTGAGTTTGAATTTGAAATGCCTATGGAATGCCGAAGTAAAGGGGTCTAGCAGGCATTTTTGAGGTGTGTCTTGAACTCAGAAGGAAAGACAAATCTGAGCTGGAAATACCAATTCTACATCAACATTATGTAGATGGTAACAGAACCCATTACATCAATCAGCAAGAGAATGCAAAACTAGAATAGCAAGAGAAGACTGACATGGTACAGCCATTCCAACTGTATGATGACCCTGCCATATACTGAAAGACACTAAATCAAAGAAAAATTAACTTTCATTCATAAAGAATACTAATATACTTAAATTTTTAAAATTCCAACAAACTCTTACTTAATAAAGAAAGTGAACCAAGTAAGCCTAAGCCCTCCAGTTACTTGAGGTTTACTGAAGTATTGAAAATACTTAAACATAAAATTCACTCAATAGCCATAGTTTATCTAATTAACAGCACTGTGCTACAAGCAAGATGACTGAACATCAAAACACTAATTAATATTTGGTTGAATACTTTTAAAATTATCTAAGGACTAGGATTGCTGAAGGATACTAAATACAATAATACAAACACTTATGGCTTGATTACAAAATTAGGAAGTATACTATGCTAAAAAGATATCCATCTCAACTTGATTCATCATCATGTATCATAATGAAATATCATAGAAAAATTATTGTTTCTTTGCTCAAGCAAGAATATTTCAACTCAAAAATGTAAATATAATTCAATCAACATTTTTATATGTACTTTTCAAGTTATAATACTTTCTGGTCCTCTACCAAGTTAAGTTCATAAACTACTAGAGGCAGAAATTAGAATCTGAGAACTTCCTATTATGAGATGGCTGAAAATATGGCTAAAAATGGAAATAAACACAAATGTGGTTTATTAAGCAATAATGGCAAGAATAATCCTTATTTTGCAAATGAAAAACCTTAGATATGTGAACTGCCTATGTTTCCAGACTTAAGTTATCTTAAACTAAATTCAGACTAGAGGTAACAACAGTCACTCAAATGAACTCAAAAAGATGAATTTCAATTCTCATCTCATCCTAAACAATGACCCACTCATGTCTTGTTGTTAGTAAAAACTAAAAATGAGTCAGCACTCTTCGTGTCATAAATTACAAGTTGTTAATACATCTATTTTGCTTTAGTCTTACTTTGGCTAAAGAGCTATTTGATTTTTTTTTTTTTGTAACGTTCAATCAAAACCTTTTTCTAACTGCTTTAGTAGAGACTAAAGATTGGAAAGACAGAATAATTTTCCTCACCAAGTGAGGGTAGTCTTTCCAAACTATAAGTTTGCCCTTAGACTAGAAGCATAGAAGCAGCTTATTCTGCTGCTGTTCACGTATATCTTTCCAGAAAAGCAGCCTCAGTGAATTCTAAAACTGTATATAATCATTGTTTAAACGATCCTTTTTAATTGAAAACAATTTTTTCACTACCACTCTCCATATTTGTTAATGTGATTTTTAATCTAATGTGTGTGAAACTAATTCTTTGTTATTTTTTTGTTGTAGACATTACTTTTGATGATTCTATAAATCAATGTATATCAGCGTCATAATGGGACCAAAACAATATAAGAAATATAACTAAATTTCCCGGAACTTTAGATCATTTACAAAAATGTGATTACCACAGAACATGTTATGCATACATTTAAACATTAAAAATCATTTTTGACTAGTAAAGTGGGCAACTTCCTGAATATCTGTCCCTCCTAGCAACAATTCCACATTATTTATAACTCTAAGTGTAGACTCTTTAAAAAAAAAATGCAATATTAGCTAGGAGAGTTAAATGTCAACCCACTACTTTTATGGCAATTTGGCTTGAATTCATTTAAGATTAATTTAATCACTTACCTAGCAAGGTCCTTAAGCAGTGGTCCTCAAATTTTAGAGAGCAAGGAAGCATCCACAGTGCAAATTTAAATGATCCTAGGCCTTGGTCAGAAGGATAACCTGATAACCTAAAAGACTAGCATGATCCCTAGACAAAAGATGAATCATTTTGACAGGGCTGGTAAAAGACCTGGATTTCAAGACATTTAGCAGCCTGGGTGGGACACATAAGGTGTGGCCCTGGGCAATCCAGTAAAGATAGCAGAGATACATCAAAAGAGAAGTGGATCAGTCCTGACAACAGATGACCAGCAGGGCTCAATTCTCCCTCCTTGCCTTCCCATTGGAATACATATTCCAAATCAATGTTTAAATGAGAGGCAACACTATTAGGAAATAAGGAAATAATGGGGTACGACCTTGGCCAAAAATATCCAACAAATAAAAAAAAACAAAAAACAGCAGTGGCTCACACCTATAATCCCAGAATTTTGGGAGGCCAAGGTGGTTAGATCACCTGAAGGCAGCAGTTCAAGACCAGCCTGACCAACATGGTGAAACACCATCTCTATGAAAAATACAAAAATCAGCTGGGCATGGTGGCAGGCGCCTGTGAGCCCAGCTACTTGGGAGGCTAAGGCAGGAGAATCACTTAAATCCGGGAGGTGGAAGTTGCAGTTAGCTGAGATCACACTATTGCACTCCAGCTTGGGCAACAGAGTGAGACTCCATCTCAAAAAACAAAAAAAATCAACACAATATAAGAAGTTACAAACAGTGCCAGGCTGAATACAGATGATAGAGAAAATTGTCTTTAAAATATACTACCAAGTACCATATTTTTCTTTTGGAAAATAAAAAAGTAAATGGTTGGACATTTTTATAATGAAAGACATATATCCTTTTCTTCTTGCAAAAGTCATTGTTCAGAGATGAAACTAATGTGCCTTATTTCCACAAGTTTTTTCATTCATTTACTCAGTACCTACGATACCCTAGTACTTGCTGTGAGTGTCCTCCTAGAAAATAATGTCAAACTTCCTGGGAAAACTAAGGAAGACTCCAAAACTTGAAGTTCTGAAGACATGAATTAAATTCTTAAAGAACTAAATTTTGAAATTTGAAATTTGAGTAAGGGCCAACCAGGTGGAAAGAAAACCACTCCAAAAAGATGGAGGAGTTCCTTCGAAGACAGGGTCTGAAAAGAATGCAAGGATTAAAAATAAAACAAATGGCAGCGGATAGAGCATAGCTTGAGTGGAGTCGAGTCTGGGCAAGTAAGTTCCAATAGTTCCCAATTTTATGGGGAAACCACTCTCCAAGGGGCTGTTTGGAAATAAATGGGATCATATTGGATTGTCAAAAAGAAAAGAAGTTATAGTTTGCCATTGCCATTTAGTGCTGAGGGACCAAGTAAAACAAACATCCTACAATGTGCAGGACAATTCACACAGTGAAGAGTTGTCCATAATAATGCCAGTAGAGTCCCCTTTGAGAAATACTGATAAGTAGATAAGGAATTAACAAAGTCTAGAGAATTTAACTCTAGGTACTCAGAGTACCCTTTAAAATCTCCGATCACAACCTCCATTTCACTCACTAAATATTTACTAAGTGCTAAAAGATAAACTAAGGCACATTAAAATTTTAAAGAGTTTATTTGAGGTCAGGCATGGTAATCCCAGCACTCTGGGAGGCCAAGGCAGGTGGATTGCTTGAGCCCAGGAATTCAAGACCAGCCTGGTCAACATGGTGAGATGCCACCTCTACAAAAAATACGAAAACTATCCTGGCATAGTAGTACATACCTATAGTCCCAGCTACTTGGGAGGCTGAGGTGGGCAGATAGCTTGAGCTTAGGAAATCAAGCCTGTAGTGAGCCATAATTGCACTACTGCCCTCCAGCCTGGGTGACATAGCAAGTTCCTGTTTCAAAAAACAAAAGCAAGAAAATGTTTATAGCCGGTGCAGCGGCTCACCCCTGTAATCCCAGCAGTTTGGGAAGCTGAGGCAGGCAGATCATCTGAGGTCGAGAGTTTGAGACCAGCCTAACCAATATGGAGAAACCTGGTCTCTACTAAAAACATAAAATACCGGGCATGGTGGCACATGCCTATATTCCCAGTTATTTAGGAGGCTAAGAATTGCTTGAACCCAGGAGGCAGAGGTTGCCGTGAGCCAAGATCAAACCACTGCACTTCAGCCTGGCAACAGATGGAAACTCCGATTCAAAAAAAGAAAAAAAAAAAAAAAAGGTTTGCTTGAACAGACAATGGTTAACCCATTTATGCTGGAGGTTGCAATTTTTTTGTGTGTGACATATCAGACCTTGGCAATGACCTGAAGCAGAATATAAACAATTCCTACAAGCTTAGTGTTCCAGTAATGGAACACTAGGCATATTAATGAATTGTGCAGTTCCAGAATACAAGCAATTTGGCGCTGCACCAAAGGGACAGAATTAGAAAGCTTTTGAAGGCTTTTGTAGAGTGAACACAGAAGAAAGGCCAAGAAAATATGTGATTGGTCAAAGTGGACTAGCCTTACTGGATCATTCCTGTAAGTTGGTGGTTAGTTAGTTGGTGCTTTCTGATTGGTTAGGCTAAAGTTTCACTTTCCTAGAATACAAGCATTTATACTGAGTTGGGTGTAAGTTTGCTTATGTAGGAACCCAGGGCACTGCAGTCTCCTCAAGCAATGGCCTCCCAATTAATTATTTTAACACAGAAAGCTATGTTTTTGCTGGGCAACAAATATGTTTCCTTCCGTCCTTTGACCATCATGAAGTTCAGAACTTTGTGGCCTACCTTTAATAACTGTATAATATTTCACAGTATTAGTTATAACTCATCCTAATCACATCTTTCTATTCACACTTCATACTTTCATGATCTTGATTTCTCTTTATTTTGTATGTTATTATATATCATATGGTTTATAAGTTACCTCAAATACTTTTGGAACAAAATAGAGTATAAATTTAAAACCATAAGCTTCAAAAGTAAAATTTAAAAATAGGGGGAAAAAAAACTAGATGTAAGATGGGAAGAAAAAATATATTACACTAAGCCCCCAGAGCAAGCTGAGAGGGTTAAAAGATTTTTTTTTAAGGGGAGGGGAGTCTCACTGTCACCCAGACTGGAATGCAGTGGTACCATCACAGCAAACTGCAACCTCCACCACCCAGGTTCAAGTGATCCTTCCACCTCAGCTGGGACCACACATGTGCACTACCATGCCCAGCTAATTTTCTGCGTTTTTTATAGAGACAGGAGTCTGCATGTTTCCCAGGCTGGTCTCGAACTCCTCAGCTCAGGTGATTGCCTGCCTCAGCCTCCCAAAGTACTGTGATTACAGGCATGAGCCACTGTACCCAGCCTCAGTTTAAGAGACTTTAAAAAAGTATAATAGACAGTCTTTGCCTTCAATTGTTTGTAATAGACTTTATTTTTTCAGAATACACATTCTTTCCAAAGTAATCAAATTAAGATTCAAACTGAAAAGAACATCATTGAATAATGGATAATGAAAGAGTGATAAACTGTACAACCTGTTTAAAGAATTAGTATGGATTAAAATAATTAAAATCACACCTATTACTATGTATTAAGAACTATGGCAACAAATCCTCACAGCAACTTTTTGAGATAAACTACTAGGATTTTCTTTATTTTATAGATAAGGAAATTGAGACAGAGAGAGGGTAACTTGTTCAAGGTAACACAGCTGTTAAATGTAGCAATTTGACCTAAGGCAGTCTGGAACCAGAGCATGTGCCCTACAGGAGTTAGATTTTAGCTAATCCTTGAATTATAGGAGGATATAGAAAGAGATTGAAGGGATGGGGGCAGTGACAGTGAACCTCGAACAGATTCAAATGAGGTAGACCAGTAAAGAACCTGAATAGAAAGTATGAATTGAGGGATATTGGGCATCTGGCGACAGCGTGCAGGCAGTTTACAAACAGCCTTAAAACTCAGAGGAAGCTAGGAGAGGTACCTCTGCCTTTAGTCCTCACTACTCTACTCAGGAGGCTGAGGCAGGAGGACTGCTTGAGCCCATAAGTCAGGGCTGTAGTGCCTCCTGATTGTGCCTGTAAATAGCCACTGCACTCCAGCCTGGGCAACTTACAGAGACCCCACCTCTTAAAAACAAACAAACAAAAAAAACCCAAAGGAGATTCCATTTAAAACAGCTGGCAATAGGAAACTATTGTAGGTTCTTGAGCTCAGAAGAGATGATAAACAGGTTTTCTCAGAAAGACGTTACATGACAGTGATATGAAATAACCCTAGCTTTCAAGCTAAACTCTTATTATTAAGCACCCTCCCGGGATTTTATAAACCTATGTGATCAGGCAAGCCCATAAGAGAAGGCTTGTCTCTGCAGTTTTCAGCAACCATTCCCTAATCAGGATTCCTTCAGGTACAGCTTATTGTCCTATACTCCATTCCCCAACTTTCTAATTGCTTTATTATACTCAGGCCAATTGTCCCCTGAAAACATTTGTTATCAATAGATAATCACCAAATGATTTCTATGGCTTTTTTCCAAATGATTTCTATGGCTTTTTTTTTTAAGGTTCCCTGATTATATGTATGATTCAGATACAACCTCCTGAGTCCCAAACACATCTCTAGGCTTTAAAGATAATAACCAAATCAAGCCCATCTTAAGAAATCTGAAACCTTTACCCTACTTATTTTTCCTAAAGGACTGCTTTACCTTTCTCAGAAATGGATTAGGCAACAGGAACTACTGTCAACATAGTTTGGCCCAACACATTATACCTAACTTGAATGGCCCACCATGTAGCAAAATCTCAGTTAACCTTATCCTAAATAAAACAGGAGGTGGCAAGGGAAAAGAAGGGCACAGAGAATATAATCTTTTGACACTCACATTCAAATGTATGCAGTTTAGAACTACTATTTCAACTAATTTCTTCAATTAAAAATATCAATAACAACTTTTAAACTGCAATTTTCAAGACTGTAATTTCTCAATACTCAGGATTTATTATTATTATTTTTTTTTTTTTTGGTCAAGGTTCTGCAACATTTCCCCTGGTCAATATTCAACTCTTCGGAAGCAGTGAGGAAGGATTCTACATGGGATCCTATGATGTATTTGAGTACACACAGGGTCTATGTTCTCCCATCCTGAGAAGCATAAACTTGCTTTTGCCACTAAAGAATAGAGACCATCGTCCAATAACAAAAGTTATAAATATGACTCAAAGTGAACCTGCGACAAAGACTTACTAAACTCAAAATGGAACAAGCTGAATGGCTTAGTGCACCCAGAAGCATTTGAGAAACTGAGTACAAACACCAAAGAAAAAATGATGGTATAAGTTTAATAGGTTTGATAGAAAAATGGTTAATAGCCTAAAAGCCTACAAGGCAATAAAACTACAACCTTTAGGAGTAGTGTACTTCTTTCTCTCCCACTCAGAAATAACTTGCATCTCTAGTAATCAAAGATGTTAAATACAAAACCTAGGCCCTAATCAGTATCATCATGCCAAACAAATATAGTCAGTCCCCTAGAAATCTAAATCATCTTCAGATGGGCCTGTTAAACAGGCTTCATTTTGACTCTGAAAAGACATGTTGTCATCCTTTTGCCTTATTTCCAATACCACTGTAATTTTATCGCCACTAAGTTTCTATAAAGCAGTCAACTATTCCTTTAACATTCTCCCGCCCTCCCCGCCAATTCATGATCTTATAGGTCATTTGGGAGGTTTTTTAAAAAAAGAAAAACCTGTTGGCTCTAAATATCAGGTTATTTCTCCTAACACTTAATGAATCTGAAACTTCAAATTAAGTTGCACTCAGCCACTAGAAGCCCCGGAAATTTAATACTCTTTGTTTCAACATCACATGCTCAAAGACTTGCTATCTGCTATCAGTATGTGGATTTTAAACACAAGATAGTAACTACCCACTTCGAGGGTGCCGCAGCCTTTGGGTAGTAGCCATGGAGCGCTAGTGACACCAGGTGCGCGACAAGGGGCGGATCCCCAGGGAAAGAGTGTCTTCGCCCTTCCCCGCTCGCCCCAAGCCCCGAGCGGTGCGGCTAGCACAGGCCTGCAGTTCACCCAGAGGGGCCACTTCCCCAGCCTTTTGTTCAGGGCTGGGCTGTTTCCCGCCTACCCGCGCGCGCCTTTCCTCCCTGTACTAGGAGTAGGGCGAGACCGTGTGGGAGCAGAGCCGGAAAAAGGCGACCGACAAGAGCTGTGGGAATACTCACCCGGCTCCGCTCGGCCCCTGACCCTGCAGCCCAGCCCGGCGAGGGCGGGGCAACGGAGCCAAGGGGAGGAGAGCCGGGGAGAGGGACTCAGCGCCTTGCGAGGCCACCGCCGCGCCGGCGGCCCTAGGGAGCTAAATGATGGGGTTGTAGGGACCTCGAGGGCGGTGGATGAGTATAGCCAGCGCACCTTCAGGCCAACCAGAAGCTACGCGGCCTGCTTCTGTCAGCGCCTCAGGCGGCCAAAACGGAGCATGCGCACCTCGCCTTCCCGCGCGCCGTGGGGGCCGCCTAGTGCCGGCCGGTGACGTGATCCGCAGCCGGCTCCGGGCAGAGGCGGGGCTGGGACCAAGGCCAGTACTGGGAGAGGGTGGAGAGATGGGAAGCGAGACCTCCCCGTCGCCCGGGTCCACCGCTGCCAAGGCCCCGCCCCTCGCTTCGCCGGTAGCTGTCACCCCCCCACCCCCATCTCCAACCGAAGGCACCGGGGGTGCCCTCCGCGGAGCACAAAGGCGGCTCGTTTAGGGGAAAACGGGTTACTAGCATCCCCCTAAGAGGTTGGAGAGCCATACCAGCATGCACACACCACAAAAAGTCTTGTAAACACAACAGTTAAGCACGAGCATGGCTACCCCTTGAAAACTTACGGATGGAGGGAGAAGTTATGAATTCGAAAATTGACAATAGTACCATCTGTGGCACATATCTCAGAGGAGAAAAAAAAATTCTAGCAGCAAAATTAAATTGGGGCGAAACGATGGGGATAAAGACTAGAAAAAAAATGTAGGAGTAACAGGGGTGATCGAACTGAAATAGCAGACATCTGAAAGAAAACTAGCATCTGCTCCTTTTAACAACAGAGTTAAATTTGTTGGAAATGAAAGGAAAAAATGCAGGCGAAGAAGTGAAAGGAAAACCTGCCTTCAAACTACATGGTGTGGTTTTGATCTTGTACTACAGTTGTGTAAGATGTCACCATTCGAGGAAACTAGGTGATAGGTACATGGGACTCCAGGTGTTGTAGTATTTTTGCAATTTCCTGTGTCTAAAATGATTTCCAAATAATAAGTATTTTAAAAGAGAGAATACTGATGGGTGGCGACCAGGGTGAAGGTCTGGAGGATAGGGTTGACTTAAAAAGGAGCTTGAGAGCTTCTATACTGTGACCGCTTGTGACTAAACCACTGTTTGTCAAAACCTATGAGGTATAAATTTTACTGCAAGTAAAATACTTTAAAACTCAAAATGGTGCAACTAACAAAAATGAATTTACACTAGCATTTTTTAGCAACTATGGATATAAATTAATTGGTAGCTGCCAATTTAGATTATCCATTTAATTTTTTTAAAAACACAAGGCAGTGTGCTGTAAATTGAGAGTTTAAGTAGGTGTCTCCATCAACTTTAAGTATTTACCTTAAAAACATATTTCACAAATGAAAACAAGAATGTAGCTGGGCACAGTGGCTCATGCCTGTAATCCCAGCGCTTTGGGAGGCCGAAGTAGGAGGATCACTTGAGTCCAGGAGTTCGACACCAACCTCGGCAACACAGTGGGACCTCATCTTTACAAAATGTTTTAAAAATAAGAATAATTTTTAAAAAATGGATCCATTGCTTTACATTGTATTCAATATTTTAGAAACAATGCACCAACTACCATGTTAATTTTTTAAAATATTTTTTGCACTGGAGGTGTTTTAGAGTTTAATAATTCTCATGCCAAAAACAAAGAAACTAAAAGAAATAACTCAGGTAACCTCCATGTACTTCCTCTCATCATATCCCTCATGGCAAAGAATGATATTGGCCTATTCATGTGTTTACCCAACAATTCTATAAAGTGCTTTAAGGCTGCAGTCTGTCGTCGTAGCATTTCTAGGCTCAAGCAGGGCTCCTGTACCTCTCCTCTCTGATTGCTGAAGTTCACTGAAAAATTTATTCACAAAGGGAAGAGTAATTGGAGAAAAGGCATACAAATGTATTTAGCATGTATACACAACAGCCTTCAAAATAAAGACCCAAAGATACAGGGGAAATTGTATGTCCATTCGTATGTCCCATGAAGTATGCACAGCGGTATAGAAATATGATTGGACAAGAGGGTATGCTCTAATGCTAATAACCTGAGTGGGGAAACACAGCAAGGGCTGTCTGTCTAGATTCTTCTTGGCCCCTCTGGGCCTGCCTTCCTTCCTTCCTTCCTTCCTTCCTTCCTTCCTTCCTTCCTTCCTTCCTTCCTTCCGGGTGTGGGGCAGGACCCTCTCAGCAATGAGGGTCTTAGGACCCACAGTCAGAAAATGTACATCAGATAATTTCTTTATGGCCAGTTTTTACAAAGAAAGACAGGGGAAAATTAAAGTAGCATTTCCAGGATTTATGGCCAGCTTTGGGGGAAAGGGGTTCTGGTTTCTATGGCCTGCCTAGTTTTATGGCTAGCCTCAGGGAGAATGGGAGTGAGAGACAGGAAGGCAGGAGGTCAGAGAAAAACTTTTGCTTCTGAGGCTGCTTCTGAGGGCTTCATTGTGAGGTATTGTTTTCTAGTCCCAATATTCCTAACTAGTAATAAGTATTCGTTGAATAAAACAAGGAATTGATCACAAAAAGAGGAAGTTAAAAAAAAAATTTTTTTTAAGATGTGGTTTCACCATGATGGCCAGGCTGATCTTGAACTCCTGACCTCAGGCGATCCACCTACCTCGGCCTCCCCAAGTGCTAGAATTACAGGCATGAGCTACCCCGCGCCCAGCCAGAAGTTAAAATTCATTGAATGCTTACCATAGTCCAAAAGCTTTATAGGTAGATAATTTCATAACTTCATGACATACCCATTCTATAACGATATCTTAATTATTAAATCCCTTTTAATACTTATTTTATTATATTTTTGTTTCATTCGGACATGTTGCTCATTTCTAAAAAGTCTTGCTTCTTTTAGCTTGCATAAAACCCACAGTCCCCTGATTTTCCTACCAGCTCTGTGACTATTCTTTTTTTTTTTGAGACAGAGTCTCGCTCTGTCGCCAGGCTAGAATGCAGTAGCACTATCTTGGCTCACTGCAACCTCCAGCGCCCAGGTTCAAGCGATTCTTCTGCCTCAGCCTCTCTAGTAGCTACGATTACAGGCACCTGCCACCATGCCCAGCTAATTTTTGTATTTTTAGTAGAGACCAGGGTTTCACCATGTTGGCCTGGATGGTCTTGATCTCCTGACCTCATAATCCACTTGCTTCGGCCTCCCAAAGTGCTGGGATTACAGGAGTCAGCCACCACGCCCAGTCTAGCCACTCTTTTTTTTTTTTAAGGCAGAGTCTCTTGCTCTTTCACCAAGGCTGGAATGCAATGGCCTGATCATAACTTACTATAACCTGGAATTCCTGGCCTCAAGCAACCCTCCTGCCTCAGCCTACCAAAGAGCTGGGATTACAGATGCAGCTCTTCTTTTTTCTCATTATTTTAGGCTTTTGTTTGTCCATTATACTTTAATGTTCGTGTTTCACACAGAGCCTTCTAGAAGTTGAAACTTCAGCTTTTTCAGTTTTTGTTTTAGTTTCTGATACTCATGTAAAAAATTTTTAATTCAAAATAGGGTTATACAAACTGCATTACATTCAAAGTCATTTTCCTTTAACCAATAAATACTTTTATTGCCAAAAATTACAATGCAGTATAAATATGTCTTTCAAGAGACAATTACAGGATTTACTTTAAAATATTAATTCATATATCAAAACAGCATAGTACTGGTACCAAAACAGATATACAGACCAATGGAACAGAACAGAGGTCTTGGCGTTAACACCACACATCTACAACCATCTGACAGTTGACAAACCTGACAAAAACAAGCAATGGGGAAAGGATTCCCTGTTTAATAAATGGTGTTGGGAAAACTGGCTAGCCATGTGCAGAAAGCTGAAACTGGACCCCTACCTGACACCTTACACTAAAATTAACTCCAGATGGATTAAAGACTTAAACATAAGACCTAACACCATAAAAACTCTAGAAGAAAACGTAGGCAAAACCATTCAGGACATAGGCGTAGGCAAGGACTTCATGACTAAAACACCAAAAGCATTGGCAACAGAAGCCAAAAGAGACAAATGGGACCTAATTAAACTCCAGAGCTTCTGTACAGCAAAATAAACAGTCATTAGAGCAAACCAGCAACCAACAGAATAGGAAAAAAATTTTGCAATCTACCCATCTGACAAAGGGCTGATATCCAGAATCTACGAAGAACTAAAACAGATTTACAAGAAACAAACAAACCCATTCAAAAGTGGGCAAAGGATATGAACAGACACTTTACAAAAGAAGGCATATATGAGACCAACAAACATATTAAAAAATTCTCATCATCACTGGTCATTAGAGAAATGCATATCAAAACCACATTGAGATACCATCTCACATCAGTTAGAACGTTGATCATTAAAAAATCTGGAGACAACAGATGCTGCAGAGGATGTGGAGAAATAGGAACACTTTTACACCATTGATAGGAGTGTAAATTAGTTCAACCATTTTGGAAGATAGTGTGGCACTTCCTCAAGGACCTAGAAATAGAAATTCCATTTGACCCAGCAATCCAATTACTGGGTATATTCCCAAAGGATTATAAATCATTCTATTATAAAGACACATGCACACATATGTTCACTGCAGCACTGTTTACAATAGCAAAGACCTGGAACCAACCCAAATGCCCATTGATGATAGACTGGACAAGGAAAATGTGGCACATATACAAGATGGAATACTATGCAGCCATAAAAAATGATGAGTTCGTGTCCTTTGTAGGGACATGGATGAATCTAGAAACCATGATTCTCAACAAACTGACACAAGAAGAGAAAATCAAACAGCACATGTTCTCACTCATAGGCAGGTATTGAACAATGATAACACATGGAGACAGGGAAGGGAGCATCACACACTGGGGTCTGTTCGGGGGGCAATAGGG